ATGCTCTTCTGCCTTCGGCTGCTCTTTTTATGCATTCATCCCGATTTTTCCCAAATAACATGTCTCCGTGGAAAGGTAAGGCACACAAACTGGATTTCAAAGATGCATCTGCCACCCAGGATCTTAGCCATAGTGCTCTTCTGGCTGAAACGGAGAGTGCCATATTTCTGGCTAAGGCTTTGACCATGTCTACTGAAGCGTCAGAAGTAAAGTCTACTGCTAGTTTAATGTCTCTGAGGTCTTCTAGAAGATTGGATCTGCTTCTGCCTTTGCGAATGTCTTCCTCCAAATTTTTCATCCAAATTTTTAAAGCTCTGTAAACTGAAGTGAGAGCTACTGCTGAATGAAGGCCTTAGAGAGGTGTAGATCTATCTTTTTATCCATGGGATCTCTGAATGATTCTGCATTGGCAACTGGCAGGGCAGTGCTTTGGGCCAGTCTGACCATGGCAGCGTCTACCTTCGGAGCAGAAGCCCAGGAGCTGGAATCACTCTTTTCAAAAGGATAAAGGCATGTGATTCTGCCTTGAGCTGACAATTTCTTGTATGTATTGGACCACTCATCTCCAATTAATTGCTTAATTGTCTCGTGTACCGGAAATGTAGCTCTCTTTTTCCTCAAATCAGCAAAATATCTGCTGGAAGTAGAAGGTTGCTCTGTAGGAACTTCTTTTAGGCTGAAGGACTTGCACACTCTGGAAATTAGGTGATCCACTTGTGTGGGTTCCATAAAATCTGGAACTAGGGATTCTTCCTCTGAAGAAGAAAATTTTTCTCTGTAAGAGTCCATGTCCATGGATTCTTCTGATAATTCTTCCTGAGAAAAATCCAAAGGATCGAAAATCCTAGGCCTTTTACGTAATTTTTCTGCTTCTTTAATACCCTGGGATACTGCCTGTTTGATGAACTGCATAATATTCAGAGAACGTGCAGAAGTAGAGGTTCCAGTGACTGCTGATAGACATTCTCTGCAGAGACGTTTCCCTTCCAGGTGTCTATTGTTTAAGGCCTTGCACCTGTTCCTTATAGGCGACTTTCCCTTGGAAGTTCTAGATGTTTTCTTTCCCATAGAACTATCATGATAGGGAATACATATAATCCAGCTCTCTTTTGTTTGTAATACACTTCATTGCAAAAAGAAAAAAGATGGCTTACCTATAACTCTTGGAATGTGACCTATGTTTATAAACTGATACGTCCAAGTCTAATGAGAATGATCTCTCTTTCTCCATACTAGCAACTGAAAATTACTTGGAAAGAATTGAAAATAAATATACCAATCAAGTACAAAAAATTAAATTTGAAAACAAAGAAGAGGAATATACCTTTAAGAAGGTAATTAACAAAAACATATGTGATTGATGTATTGGAAACAAATCCGGATTTCTAACACTGCATAGCTTCTTAGGGTTTGCTGAACCTGTGAAAGGTAAGAGATTTTTGGTCTTGGCTCCTTTAAGAAGGCATGTGACGTCACTGATGATGTCCCTGTATAAAATCCCGGTTGGCCGCAATGCGCATGCGCAATTATATGCTTCCGCGCATGCGTGACAAAAGGCATGACATGACCGTTTGTTCGCGCATGCGCAGTACGGCCGACGGAAGCTGAGCAAGGTGGCAGCCTATAGAAAAATCCCTAGACCACCAGGAAAGATGGAAAAGGCACCAATGATCTATATATACATAAGAACCTTACCTTTCCTCTGTTGGTCCCCTGAGATACAGCCTGTTTGAAAGAAAAACAAAGGTAAAGAAAGGTGGAAGGGGGCATCTGACAACCACACTATACAATATATATACCCTATGGTATATATATATATATATATATATATATATATATATATATATATATGCTGTGGACTGCCAGATAAATAAATAGAAATTGATAACGGAGATGAAATTCTTCTGCCACTTCCTGCTACCACTTGGTCACTGCAGGGAATCCTGTGTATTGGCAATTTTTTTCTCTTGTTACCCCTAGGGTCACTGCAAGTAGCTCCTGGTCACTGAAGGAGCATCTCCAGGGGAACACCTTTGCACAGGGCCGAAGGTAAAAACCCTCAGGTAAGCCAAAAATAAAAAATAGTTGTTGTCCTGAATGACTATATGTTCTATGGGATAGGACAGGAACAAAAAGACTGGGGTAGGAGGGGGTGGGAGGGGGTACTTATACCCTTATTTTTAATTAGTTCCTGTCTAATTAGGGATAGGGAGGAGCAACCCATTGTTGTGCTGCCATGGATATGGCCAGGAAATATAAATATATATATGTATAGCTACATATTTTTATACATAGAGATATATTGCTATATCTATCTATATATCTATCTATCTATCTATATATACATATATATACATATATATATATATATATATATATATATATATATACATGTATACATATATATAGGATATCTAGTTATATATCTACCTATATATCTACCTATATATCTACATATGAAGTTTGTTGATAATTAAAGGAATCACTATTTACACCAAAGCTCCTTAGGGGCGCCTCAGATATATCTATATCTACCCAAGTTGAGATGCTCCCAAGGAGCTTCAGTGTAAAAAGTGATTCATTTAAATATCACCAACCTTCATATATAGATAGATAGATAGATAGATAGATAGATAGATAGATATAGAAATATATATATATATATATATATATATATATATATACACACACACAGAGAGAGAGAGAGGTGTGTTTGTATATAAATATGTGTGTTTGTGTGTTTGTGTGTGTGTGTGTATGTATATATATATATATATATATACACACACACATACACTCACACACTAACACACTTTTACATACATATATGCCTCAAAGACATAAATAGAGTAATAAAAACTATTGATAAAAATAACACATCACCATAATAAGGACGATGTATGCAATTGTATGTGTGTGTGTGTATATATATATATATATATATATATATATATATATATATATATATATATATATATATGTCTCAATATATATATGTCTCAATATATATGTTTTTGTATATATATTTTGTTATAAATGTATAAGTATATAAGTAATATATATATATATATATATATATATATATATATATATATATATACATATATATGTACACACACACACACATGCACACACACACAACAGCATGCTGTGGGTGCTCGTACACAATTACATGTACTACTAAACCAACTTTCATCGATGCATTGTATAAATACACTGTCCATCCTTCTGAGGTACAAGGGGGATGCTTCGACACTCTGGGTCCACTGGCATCACCATTATTTACCTCAAGGAGGAGTAGCAGCCCTCCATCATCTTGCATAGCCAGCACCAACTCTGTGTGTCCATGCATGTCACACTCTCCCACCTTCAATCCAACAGTCAATTTTTCTTCATCCATGTTGACTTGCAAGGAAAATGTCTGGTTGTGCAAGCTCACCCTGCATTGCCCTTTGCATCACATGTTATCTCTCCCACCCTAATAATATCAACCAGTCTCCAAACTGTCTGGCCCTATCATGATGACATTGAAGAAATTTCACTATTAGACACTATCTTATCTTTAAATCAATTTACAAATGTCAATGGATAGACTTTACTTCCCCCATCCATGTAGATTTGCAAGAGAAATGCCAGGTTTTAAAAATTTCACTTCATTGCCCTTTGCATGGCATTAGGATATTTCTACACCTCCAATTCTTCCCCCACATACTCACTAATTTCTAACAGTCTACAAGCTGTCTGTCCCCAGTATGAGTACAATAAAAAAACATTTCCTTTCATGAAACACTCATCTTAAATTTATTTAAAAATGCTATAAAAAAATAAAAATCAATGTCCTTGCTACTGAGGAGAAGGTGGTATGCCTGGACGCTCTGGGTCCCCCTGTTGTCCTCATTTTTCATCCTCTGTAGGAGCCTCTCCTCTACACCATCTTGCATGGCCAGCATCAACTCTGTCTGGCCCTGCATGTGATGGGTGCTGGAACACAATTCCAAGTCCTACTCACCCACCTTTAATTTTATTTGTTAATTAATTTTAAGAAATGCTTTTACCTGCCTCTTAAAAAGTGTGAAGACTGGACTCTTTAAATTGCAATCCCTAAAACGTTTTAATGTGTTCTGTATTGGTCATCCTGTCCCCTCACATGATGCCAGCAACACACAATGTCTGGCTTTAAAAAAAAAAGTAAAATACATTTTTAAGGTAATATAAATTTTTCTTCTGCTTATTTACATTGATGTAATCTTTTCATTAAAAGATAACAAGAAAAAAAAATGGCAAGTGTACATAGTACACATTGTCAAAATGATGCGGACATCCAGCGTATGGTACATTTACAAAAGTGACTTACATTTTTCATGTGATCTAGATTTTTGTAATATGAATTATCAACAGTGCAATAAACATGAAAAGATCACATAAGTCTACAAGGTTTTATAAACAAGGAGATAATCATTGGCCTTGGAGACAAAAGGCAATATTTTGCATTGATGGATAAAAAGGACCACTGCATCTTATCTCAATTCATTTACATCAGGTTGCCTGGTGGATGTTTGAGGTTTATTAAAAAAAGAGATGTTGGATGAATTTTAACTTTCATAATTTATTCACAATACATAATATGATTAGTACAAATTGTATTGTACAATGTTCTGGTATTCACAAAAGTGAGTACAGCAGAGGGTGTAGAGGGAATAAGAATAGAGAGTGTTTTAGCTCAGAAACTGGAAACTAAGGATTTCACCTGATCCTATAGGAATAGAGAAAAAAATACACTAGTAGAGTGTGAGTTTCCAGGAGCTAGAACATAGAGAGTAGGTATTGGAATAAAACTGGAAATGGATATGACCTTAAATAATACAATACTAAAATTAAAAATATAAAATTGCAATGTCTGCTATGATAAGTATAAAGCAGAAATGTATATGACCATAAATGGTAAAATAGATAGATACACACAAATGAAAATATATAGGTTGCGCTATATGGTAATAGATGTAAAAATAAAATGGGATAAGACAAATATATAAATAAACAGGAAAAATGATGCCAATACTGAAAAGTCTTTAATAAAACCTGTGATAATACTGGAGTCTAGAGAGAATCGAATAGGTAGCTGGGTCTTCTTATGTTGGAGGTGTCTCAGTTCGGTAGTAGATATATGGACATGTAAGAAAAACAGAGAGACTCCAATAGTGCAGATTGTAATTCAGCAAATTGATAGATAAAAAATTCTCATAGCAGATGGTCCACTCACCTATGGCAAGGACCTCACTCTCAAATGGCCGGGGGGCACCGGAGGAGGAGGGTCTGAAAGACCGGAGGGCGTACAATTACGCCCGGCGGCGTTTAGAGCTGCCTAAAATAGGGCGTAATTGTACGCCCTCTGGTCTTAAGGGGTTAATAAACATATGAACTATATAAAAATATTGGTGAAAATCTCAGGTAGGTTAACATTATGTTAAGTATCAAATGGAATAAGCAATAAAACCTGCTGTCCAGACCAGGATGGATGTGGATTGTGTTTGGAGTTTGTTGTCTCTGTATCCAGATAGCCGCTGAGGACAGCTTGTGAGTTCTTGTATGCTCCGCCTCCGACCTCACATCAGGGGTGAGCTGTAGTCTCACGGAAAGGTACAGATGCTGGGTCCGAGATCTTTCAGTCTACAGGGATGATCGCAAGAATGTATACACTTGTTACTCCTCCTCTCAGTTTCAGCTGCCTTATGCATTTCGTAGGAGAACCCTACTTCATCAGATATATCAGATATATAGATACATATGTGAATAACCATTAGTTCATTTAACATAACTGTATGTGTCTTGATTTTTTTGATGTGCAATAAATGGCATTTAACATTCTTACAGTGTATAATGAGGATTATTTGATACACGCTTGTTCTTAAAACCGCATGAAACATGGGGCTTTTAAAATTGTATCTTACTTAGAGGCAGAAAATGACATACATGAACATTATAAGCATTATTGTGCGTTTTTTTGTTTTTTTTTAAAGATACGTTTTCTTATTTTGTACATTATGCAATATATTATAATACACAGAATAGCATATACATTACTCCGGACACATTATGAGAATTAGTTTGTTGGGTTCATACCTTCTCATTTTACTCGATAATATAAAGACTAATTTAATAAGTGGCAGGTTGGTTAATCTTAAGCCTTATTATTTCTCATATATGACACATATCTGACATGTAGTCATACACACAATAGATATATAGTAGAAGCATAGAATAAAAACAATATGTAGTTAGTATAAACTGAAAATAAGAACATAACTGGTGGTGAAGAATACACCATAGATGAGTGTGTATTGGAAACAAAAAAATCAGACAGAGGAAAGAATATGTGCGATGCTATTAGCTTGAAATTCTAATCTTAAAATGGCATAAGTAAACTTGTGAACAATCCTTTAATTCAGTTTATTGACTGTTCTAACTCCACCCTTTTTTCTACATAAAGATAACAGCGCGTATATACATCTTGAAAGTGGTGGACAAATTTCGACTGGACCGGATAGATATATTGTAAGATGAAAAAAGCACTGGTGGTAAAAAATAAAAAGAATAGCCGGTGGTAAAAAATATACTGATTAAAAAATATTGAGGAAAGAATTTGATACAAAAGGAGAAAAAGAGTCCCTCTATATAATATCAAAACTAAGAGAACGTCATTGGAAGACAATACAAACTGGAGAGAGATGGAGTACATGGAGATAAAAAATAAAGAAAGTAAGGAATAAAAAATAAAATGTAAAATGGAAAAAATGGAAATAAAAAAATATATATAAATGGTAGATAAATTTATATGCGTATAAAAAATATAAAGACAATCTAAAACATGGACCAGATAAGAACTAAAAAATAAATAGTAAATAGATCTATCTTTAAAAAGCATTCAGTTCAAAGTCTACGTTCAACTCCTTCGGTACTAGAGTGTTGAGGGAGAAGATCCATTTAGCTTCCGTTTGGTCCAAGTTCTTTTCCAGATCCCCTGCTCTCCCATGTGTATCAACTTTCTCGATGGCTACAAATTCTAGACCAGTAGGATCTCCGTCGTGTTCCTCCTAAAAGTGCTTTGATAGGTTGTGCGCAGGTAGACTTCTTTTAATGTTCCGAATATGTTCGGCGATCCTCACCTTGCGGGATCTTTTAGTCCTCCCTACGTATTGTTTTGGACATGGGCAGGTGATGAGGTAGATTACACCTTGGGTGTTGCAGTTCATCTGGGATTTCAGCTTATATTCCTTATTATCGTCCAAAGAAGTAAATTTGTAACCAATTGGTTCTTGAGAAGAATTATTTTTGCACCCTTGGCATTTTTGCATCTCAAGAACCAATTAGTTACAAATTTACTTCTTTGGACGATAATAAGGAATAATAATGGAATTTACTGTCCACACAAGAAAAGTTGTGCAGAGCAGCAACCAAATCCACACAAGGGTTAATGCTAAGCAGCAATTATGCAAATGGGAACCTGGTAACTGCCTTTGGGGTCAAAGGCCGGTTACCGCCTATCAGATCTAGAGAAAGGGTATTTAGGCCCAGTTCTCATCCTGCTCAGTGCCCTGTCGTGGTTTCCCTTGTGGTTGTCTGAGAGCTCGTTCCTGATTCAAGTTTCTTCTGGTTTTTGACTTTGGCTTTGATTTTGACTTCACTGTATTCTGTATCCCTGACTTCTGGCTTTCTCTTATTGTTGTGTCTCTTTCTGTATCCCCTGACCTCGGCAAGTATCCTGACTATTCTTTGGTACGTTAAGTCCGGCCATTCTAAGGCCCGGTAATACGTTACCTATTAGTCATCTGTGTGACACAATTCTACGTGCTGGATCAACTAGTAATCCTGACATTATGACATGGCTATAGATCCTGTAGAATTGTGCTTTTGAGAGAAAGCTAGTGGAGAATGATCACCGTATGGATCAGTTTGCCCAGGCTTTCAGTACGCTCCTTACTCGAACAGCACATCTGCAACCTGCGGCTTCTCCAACTGTGTCACCTCCGCCTAATGTACCTCTTTTAGTACATAAGGCACCTCCTATGTCCCGATCTCCTCCACCTGATTTTGATGGTAATATTCAATAATGCCAGGGATTTATTAACCAAATTGAGTATCATTTTGAGGCCTCACCGGGATCTTTTCTCACTGACAGAGATAAAATTGGTTACCTGATGAACCAACTTAAAGGTAAAGCTTTAGCTTGGGCTAATCCGTTATGGGAGAGTAGTAGGAACATTGCACACAATTACCAGGAATTCCTTGCGGAATTTAAACTTACGTTTGAGCCATTAGGCAGGGAGGATGACGCCTCCACTGCCCTAATGCATATTAGACAAGGGAACTGGTCTATCTCGGAGTATGCCATAGAATTTCGCACCTTGGCTTCCGAGGTAGACTGGAATAACAGCGGATTAATCTCAGCATTTAAGAAGGGATTATCTGAGATGTTGGATGAGATTGCTGCCAAAGAACTACCCAAAAAACTCAATGAGTTTATTATGTTTATTATGCTAATTAATAATAGACTCAGAACCAGAAATAAAACCAGACGTATGGCTTTGCCATTAACCCCTTATTTCTCCAGACCGGTTGTTCCTGACCTTTCTATACAGTTCGAACCTGAACCTATGCAGTTGGGGGTCACTAGACTGTCCGAGGCAGAAAGAAAACATCAGAGAAAAGAGGGTCTATGCATATACTGTGGTGAAAAAGGACATATGAGGAGTACTTGTCCCATAAGTCCGGAAAACTACCGTACCTAAGAACCTTAAGGGGACAGGTCTTAGGTGTAATGGATACGTCCTCTGGGAATAACAATAATAGAATTCTCCTTGATATTACGATCATAGTCGACAAAAATAACTTTTCATGCAAGGCCCTGATGGACTCAGGTGCAGCAGGAAATTTAATTGAAGTTCATTTTGTTAAAAAGAATGCTATACCTATCAAGGAGAGAATATCACCTCTGGCCATTGAGGCTATTGACGGGAGACCACTCTCTCAACCCTTAATTACCCATGAAACCTTGCCCATTAACATGTCTATTGGTGCCTTACATAAGGAAGATATAATATTCCAAGTTATTGCATCTACTTCTTGCCCTATCATATTAGGCTTTCCTTGGCTTAGTAATCACAACCCTCATATTGACAGGGCTACTGGGGAAATATTGTAATGGGGCAAGGATTGTAATGGGAAGTGTATGTTACACCTCACCAAGAGAGTAGGTACCATTAAATTACCCACTACTATACCTCAAACCCCTGAAGTTCCCATACAATACTGGGAGGTTAGGAAGTATTTAGTAAGAGTCAGTCCAATATCTTACCTCCTCACAGGTCATATGACTGCTCCATAAATCTGTTACCCGGTGCTATGCCACCTAAAGGGGCAGTATATGCCTTATCGCCACAGGAGAGTAAAATAATGGAAGAATATATCAAACCCTCACTAAACAAGGGCCATATACGAAAATCATCCTCACCTGCAAGAAAGATGGAGAATTACGTCCATGCATTGACTACAGAGCATTAAATAAGATTACTGTTAAGAATGCCTATCCTATTCCTCTCATTTCCAAATTGTTTGATAGACTCCAGGGTGCTAAGTAGTGATGTCGCGAACATGAAATTTTCGGTTTGCGAACGGCGAACGCGAATTTCGGCAAATGTTTGCGAACCCGCGAACCGGGCGAACCGCCATAGACTTCAATAGGCAGGCGAATTTTAAAACACACAGGGACTCTTTCTGGCCACAATAGTGATGGAAAAATTGTTTCAAGGGGACTAACACCTGGACTGTGGCATGCAAACTCCGATCAGCAGCTGCATCTTGCAGCCGCTTAGTAGATAACTCCCTAATTCCCACGGTATTAGAGAGCTATCTACTAAAAGGCTGAAAGACCTAAATTGGTCTTTCAGCCACATTTACTAATACTAAGTAAAGATTACTTAGTATTAGTAAATTCTCACTGTAAAAAACCTATTGCACCCACCCCTGTGTGACGGGTGGGGGCCATAAATTACAATGGGGGGGAGGACCTACTGTCCTCCCCCCCGGCCCCCACCCCTGGGTGGCGGGTGGGGGCCATAAAGATAATGGGGGGACGACCTACTGTCCTCCCCCTGGCTCCCACCCCTGGGCGGCGGGTGAAGTGGGGGCCATAAAAATAATGAGGGGGGACCTACTGTCCTCCCCTCCGGCCCTCACCCCTGCGCGGTGGGTGGGGGCAAATAAATCA